CAATAAAACATAGGTAAATGTCTTTCTGGTATTCTCTGCTTTCAGCCAAGGTTCATCTGATATCAGCAATGATAGCGCTCGTTCCATGTCCTCTTCTGAATCCAGCTTGAATTTCTGGAAGTTCCCTGTGGATTACAGCTGCAACTGTTTCTGAATGATCTCCAACATAATTTTACTTGTGTGTGATATTGTTTGATAATTTCCACATTCCCTTGGATCACCTTTTTTTGGAACGGGCACAAATATGGATCTCTTCCAGTCGGTTGGCCAGGTAGCTGTCTTCCAAATTTCTTGGCATAGACGAGTGAGTACTTCCAGTGCTGCATCCGTTTGTTGAAACATCTCAGTTGGTATTCCATCAATTCCTGGAGCCTTGTTTTTTTGCCAATGCCTTCAGTGCAGCTTGGACTTCTTCTTTCAATACCATCAGTTCTTGATCATATGCTACCATCAGTTCTTGATCATATGCTATCTCCTGAAATGGTTGAACTTTGACCAATTCTTTTTGGTACAGTGACTCTGTGTATTCCTTCCATCTGCTTTTGATGCTTCCTGTGTCGTTCAGTATGTTGCCCATAGAATTCTTCAAAATTACAACTCAAGGCTTGAATTTTTTCTTCAGTTCTTTTAGCTTGAGAATTGCCAAGGGTGTTCTTCCCTTTGGTTTTCTAACTCCAGGTCTTTGCACATTTCATTATAATACTTACTTTGTCTTCTTGAGCTGCCCTTTGAAATCTTCTGTTCAGCTTCTTCCATTTTCTTTAGCTACTGTATGTTCAATAGCAAATTTCAGAGTCTCTTCTGACACCCATTTTAGTCTTTCTTTCTTTCCTGTCTTTTTAATGACCTTTTGCTTTCCTCATGTAAGATGTCCTTGATGTCATTCCACATCTCTTCTGGTCTTCGGTCGTTAGTGTTCAACCCATCAAATCTCTTCTTGAGATGGTCTCTAAATTCGGGTGGAATATATTCAAGTTCGTACTTTGACTCTCGTGAACTTGTTCTAATTTTCTTCAGCTTCAACTTGAACTTGCATATGAGCAATTAATGGTCTGTTCCACAGCTGGCCCCTGGCCTTGTTCTGACTGATGATATTGAGCTTTTCCATTGTCTCTTTCCACAGATGTAGTCATAATTTGATTCCTGTGTTTTCCATCTGGTGAGATCCATGCGTATAGTTGCCGTTTATGTTGGTGAAAAAAGGTATTTGCAATGAATAAATCGTTGGTCTTGCAAAGTTCTATCATATGATCTCCACTGTCACTTGTATCACCAAGGCCATATTTTCCAACTACCTATCCTTCTTTCTTGTTTCCAACTTTCACATTCCAGTCACTAGTAATTATCAATGCATCTTGATTGCATGTTTGATCTATTTCAGACTGCAGAAGTCGATAAAAATCTTCTATTTCCTCATCTTGGCATTAGTTGGATATATAAGACTGGAATTCAAGGGAGAGGTTCAGCTGGAGATACGAATTTGGAAGTCATTAGCATAAAGATGGTATTCAAAGCCATAAGTATGGATGAGATCACCAAGGGCATGACCGCAGGTAGAGAAGAGGGAAGGTCCAAAGACTGAGTCCCAGGGCACTCCATCATTAGGAAATCAGGAAATGAGGGGGAACTGGCATAGGAGACTGACAAGAAATGGTTAGTGAAGTAGGAGTGAATCCAGGAGAACGTGGCATCCAGGAAGCCAACTTACAAAAGGACTGCCAGAGAAGGGAGTAATCAAGAGGGCCAAATACTGCAAAGTCCAATTAGATGAGGCTGGAGAATTGACCACTGGCTTATCAACATGGAATAATTAGTGACCTTGACAAGTGCAGTTTCAGTGAAATGGCAGGAGTGAGACCTGATTAGAGTGAGTTCAAGAAAGAAGGTGCGGGGGTAGGGGAGGAAGGATAGGAAAGAGCAATACAGACAGCTCTCATGTGGAGTTTCCAAGATGGGAGAAATAACAACTTGTTTGTGTGTTGATGGAAATGATCCAGTAGAGAGAAGGAAACCTGGTGAAGCAGGGGAAAGAGAAGGGTGTATTCTTGAGCATTATCCGTGAGTGAGGTGAGAGGGCATGAGGTCTAATACACAGGTAGAAAGTTGGCCTTTACTTGGAACAAGGATTGTTCATCTCTTGTGAATAGAGAGAAGGCAGAGTATATGGGCAGGTATATGCAGGTAGCTGGACGGATGTGGTGCTGGGAGCTTGTGGAAAGTCTCTTTTTGTTTCTATTTTCTTATTGAAATAGGAAACAAGGTCATCAGCCAAGAGTGTAGTTGGGCAAGGAGATGGAGGTTTGAGCAGCAAAGAGAATGAAATAGCCCAGGAGCCTGGAAGACTGAATGGGCTAGGGAAATATGGTAAGATGGCTAGGCAGCTTTAGGGTCTTCTTTAGCTTAATAACCATGACTTTAAAGTAAGACAGTCAGCATGATATGGGTTTTTCTCCAGGCACATTCAGCTGCATAGGTGTAGGCGGGGAGTAGGTGAAGTGTTGGGTTCAACCAAGGTCATGGTTAACCCTTTTGTGCCCAGTGCTACATATACCAACCATGAAATTTTTAGCTTCTGGGGTTTATTGGGAAGCTGCTATACCACTAACAGTGCATGCTGCCACAAGGCAGGGACCTTTATGACTGTTTGAAACTGAGGAAATGGGCATGTTTTTACCGGGTGTTGGTAGGAAAAATAGACATTTTGAGAATTTTAATTTGTAACACATATGTACCAACAGATCCCAGTGGGGATCCTGGGGTATAATTAGTGGTATTTCATATGTACCAGTAAACACTGAGAGTAGGCTTGTGGGAGGGGGCAACAACAAAAAAATCCATATCACCTACTAAAAATTCAGACACACTCAATGATTCAGCACGCTCCCATTAATGAAAACATGGTATCAACAAAAAATTCAAGCAGAAAATAATTGGATCACCATAGGGTAAAATCAAGGGTGTCAGGGAAGTCCAGGGTATACGCAAAGAAGTGATTATGGTGATTAACCACAGGATTTAAACTGGGTAAGGAGGGAAGTAAGGGGAGATGGCTGCTAAATAAAAAAAATTTTTTAACAAAATATACAGTTATATAAAATTTAGATAATAAGTATATTTCTACAGCATACATATGTCCATTACACAGCTGCCATAACTTAAAAAACTGAGTCTATATTACATTTGTATTAGTGCCTTTATATTACATATATTAAATTTGTAACAGATTTGCATCCAGCCCTCTGGTACTTGACATTTTACAATTTGTGCTTAATTCAATTAGCTTTCAAACAGAAGTCATTTCCTGTTGAAAAGCAAATATTTCTGAGAAATTCTAGGGAAGTCTTATCAATCACAGTTGTGTCCCTAGAGCTTAACACAATGCCTGGCACCTAGTAGGTGATTGTTGAATGAACTTATGTCTGTTTTTTTAAAAACGTGCTAGCAGCCTTGTCAAGAGTGGGTTTTGAAAGCAGGCTGTGAGTAGAGATAGAAAAGCGGACACTGAGGTCCAGAAGGAGGAGAAAGTAACAACAGGAGAAAATTACAGACCAGGGCAGACTTGGCATACTTCTTCATCCTGCCCTGGAACTCATCAGCGTAACTGCTTTCGGCATTCCATCTGGAGTACCTGGGGCAGGAAAATCATGCAAAATAGGGCACAGTGCGCAGGGGTAGGTGCTCAATAAATAGGTGTTAAATAGGTGAATCGAAACAGTGAAAACTAATGGTAACTCCATCCCTTCACTTTTTATCCCACAGAGGAGCGCTGGAGGGCAGGGACTAAAAATGCTGAACAGAAAGTCAGAGGTTGGCTGCTGCCACCAACTAGCGCCGACACCGTATGCAGCTAACCTCTCTGGGCTTTGCTTTCTTCACCTGTGAAAACAACAGCTAACATTTGTTGATTGCTTACTATTAATATAGACCAGATCCTTTGCTTAACACTTTATGTGAATTTACTTATTTAATTCATTTCACAACCCTAAACCAAAACCAAACCAAACCTGTTCCCATCAAGTTGATTCTGACTCTTAATGATGGTTGTTATTATGATTGTCCTAGTGTTGCAGATGAAGTATTGAGGTTAAGTACTTGTTTAAAGTTAAGCAAATAACCAAATAGCAGAACCAGAATTCAAACACAAGCAGAGGTAGGATTCAAACCAATGGTTGAACTGAAGGTAAGACTTGATGGCTATCTTCTTAACCACCATAATATCTCAACCACTACACTGTACTTTAAAAGTCTGCTACATGCCCTCTTTCAACACTAAAATAAGTTGATTCTATTTTGCTTAAAACAAATAAAATAATTAACTTTAGTGCCTATAGGTATACTACTAAACCAGAAAAATAGGAACAGACAGAACCAGTAACTACTACATAGGTTATGTAGAAAGAATACACAGTATAAAGAGCTCAAGTCAGTGAATACTGAGTAAGTGTATAAGAAAGGTCCATCGTCCAAGGTCCCTCCACAAAATCATGACCCAAATGGAGGAAATCAACATGGAAGTTTCAATCAACATCATTCATTCATTCTTTCATTCAAACACTTATTGAGCATCTACCATGAGTGAGGTACTGAAATGGGTATGGACACATTTTCTCATTTACTGCTGCATCCCATCTTATGAGTGAAGAAATGGAGAGTTTAATGGATAAGTTACTTGTCCAAGGCCATGAGGCTAGTAAGTAGCAGAGCTGGGAGCCCAACACAAGACTGTCCAGTGAATTTTACATTAATGGACATGGATGCTTCTCATATGCTCAATTCATTCAGTATTTTTTTTTTTTAAAGGCAGATTTCCTTAGATAATTTGATGACAAAAAGAATTACAAGCAGAGTCGATATTCCAAATACATCCATAAACATAGGACATTTCTCTAGACTGAAATTAGTAATAGTCATTTCTAAAGAATAAAGTCAATATTGATTGCATTTTGGATGTAAATACACTTATTATTTTTAATGAACTTAGCACACATTGTAAGTCTTACCTCTTGATGTGCCAAAGAATAAGAGTGCAGCAATCCAAATTCCAAACATCTAAGTTGATACAAATAAAAAAATCAAAAATCTCCTGAAGAACTTTACTTGTAAAGTCACTTCACTATAAAGTACTAAGTGGTTTTCTTCAAAATGACACCACTAAATATAGGAGCTCTAGGTCCAGAAGAGCACGTAGCTCATGCCACCTTTAATTCTCATGCCCTGCAAAGTAAATGTGCCATAGCCTAGACTCTTGGCTTCATATTAAGAAATATAATTAGCTGGGTGTGACTTACATCATGTGACTGGTGATTAAAACTTCCAAGGATTTGTCGCTTCATCATTAGTAATATTTTAGTTTACACACAAATGGAGTCATTCTGGAAAGTTATTCTAAGGTTCATGATTTTAGATAATAAACATTTAAAAGGAAATTTTTCCAGATCGTGATTAGACATTTTCAGTATTTTTTCCCTAACATTTCTCAGCGTAAGCATCCACTTAATACAAGCACATCCTGCTAAAATATGTTATGAGTTAAATAATACACAGCTAATCTGCCCCTCTTACCTGTGTGGCAATATCACATAGCTGTTATCATCGGTGACTCTGGAGCCTGATCCCTGGGCTCTTCTACTTATTGCTAGCATGGCTTTGGGCTGTTCAGTCTCACTGTGCTTTTCCTCACCTGTAAAGGGGGATAATTATGGCTCCTAATTCATAAGGTCATTGAAGTGATTAAATTACTTACACATACAATAAGTAATTGGTACATAAGTAATATATTAAGTGTTAATTTTTATTACTCTCATTTTAAACTATGTTAATGTTCATATGGACAAATTTATGTTTACATATAGGTAAATATATACTTACATCATTTTATATAGGCTTCGTGATATAAACCAAACCCAAATCCATTGCCATCGAGTCGATTTCAACTCATAGCAACCCAACAGGACAAAGCAGAACTGCTCCACAGGGAGTTTCCGAGGCTGTAATCTTTACGGAAGCAGACTGCCACATCTTTCTCTCACAGAGCAGCTGGTGGGTTCGAACCACCCACCTTTTGATTAGCAGTTTAACCACTGTGCCACCAGCGCTCCTTGTATACTTTAGTGCAATTTAAACTTGCTTTTTTGTGCTACTACATTAACTTACAGTGATGAACAATTAAATCCACAGGTATCTTAGTTATTTTCTCAATTTTTAAATGTTCATAGAAAGTGGCTGAAAGCATTTCTCGGGTTTTCTTAATTTTTTTCTCTCATCGTAATAGCATCAAATTTTTATCATATTTATGAGACATTTGGTCTTTTCATGCATACCTTGTTACATTATGCAAGACTCAAACAAAGAAGAAATTATGAACAAGAGTAGTTACAAGTCTTGGGTGTTTTGTTTGGTTGGAAATATCCTGGTGATTGTAGCAGCCAGTTCACGCTGGCATGCAGGCCAGCAGTAAATACAGAATGGACCCATTCAGCACTAAGCACAGAGCCCAGCACAGAGGGAGTGCCCACTAACCAGGCCTTTAAAAAAAGACATGCTCTAAAAGCTTCACCAATTATTGACTGTATTTTCCAAGTGACATATCAAGAATTGATGTTTTCAGCCCCACAAGTAGGATAAGCCTGAACAATACATCCATCAACAGCATCCTGTCAGAAGACTGCATCTTATTTACGTCTGCATCTCAAGTGACAAGCACGATGCCTGGAACTAAGAAGGTACTTAATATATTAACATTGTCAAATAATAAATACAAAGATCTACAATGATAATATAGACAAAAAAAAATTTTTTTAAACCACTCTCTGTTCCATGTTTTCACAGCACTTACTAATGAACCTGCTATGTTGTTGTTGTATGCCGTTGAGTCAATTCCGACTCATAGCAAGTCCATGTGACGGAGTAGAACAGCCCCATAGGGTTTCCCAGGCTGTAATCTTTACAGAAGCAGATTGCCAGGTCTTTTCTCCCATGGAGTCACTGGTGGGTTCGAACTGCTGACCTTTCAGTTAGCAGCTGAGCACTTAACCTTTGTGCCACCAGGACTCCTGAACCTGCTATAGCACTTAACAGATCATAGACTTGTTAGGCATTTATCTGTTAGTCTCCTACCTTAGACTGCACCATTCTGAGACAAGGATTGGCTTTTGCTCATTTCTGGGCCCCGAGCATCTAGTAAAAGGTCTATCAGATTTCAATATTTAATGAAAGAAAGAAAAAAAAAGCAATAGATTTCACTGATCTATATTGTCCAAGGAAAATTCTTATTCTACAGAGATTATCATTCTGAAAGATGAAGACTCACTCTAACAATTATACTTAACAAGGATCAGCTACTGGTGAATCTATAAATGCTTGCTGAAATCACGGCAGCTCTGCCTAGAAAATGCTACGTACAGGAGTTAACAGTAGCTTTTAAAAATTCTTCACAAAATTAAAGCTGTGTCTACATATGACAGCACACCAAAGTGAGGAAAAAGAGCAAACCAGTTGAATTCTTGATCCAACAGTAGATAATAATTTAATTAATTTTGTCTCTGACATGATAAATTATTTTGAGTATTTAGTAAAGCAGAGAACCGTCCAAGATGTCATCATGATTATTTCAATATTTACATCAGAACCCTGAAGAATATGGCTGTAATTTTAAAATCACTTTCTAGGCGATTTCTTATTGCACAGCTCTTCAAATCATCTCAGATTTCAAGTAGGCTAACACCATGGCCATTTGGGGGAAGCAAAGGAGGAGTGAAGCACAAAGTTAAACACCTGAGCCATCATGTCATTCATTCATTTATTCATTCATTCAATAAATATTTGAGTGGTTACTACGTGCCAGGTATTAGTCTTGGTGTTGATGATGCATCAATGAACAAAACAGATAATAAAGACCCAGCCTTTGTGGATATTATATTACCATGAAGGAGGCAGCCAATAAACCTAGTAAATAATTATAGAGTATATGGAAAATTGGTTAAGTGTTATGGAAAGAAAAGCAGAGCAGCGTAAAGGAGGTTAGGGAACTTGGGATTTGATTGGGGGAGGGAGTTGCAAGTGCAACAATTTTAATTTGGGTGGTCCAGAGAGGCCTCGTTAAAAAGGTGACATTTGAGCAAAGAATCAAAGTCAGTGACTCTCTGGGGCAAGAGTCTTCCGGGCAGAGGGACAGGTAAGCCCAGGCCCTGAGGCTGGAGTGTGCCTGTGTCTTGGAGCGAGTGTGTTGGAAGCAAAGGAAGAGAGGACGAGGCAAGTAGAGGATGAAATCACAGAGAAACTTGGGGGCTAGAGTGGGTAAGTTCTTACAGGCCATCTTAACAACTCCAGCTTTTCCTCTCCGAGGAAAGAGAGCTGTTTGGGAGGCTCTGAGCAGAGAAGTGTCGTGTCTAACTTCAATTTTAACAGGATCATTCTGACTACTCTGTTGTCAATAGACTAAAGTAGGGCAAAGCATACTGTATTTTTATGCAAATAACGAGTGCATTATTCATTTATTTGCCAACTGCACAACACTCCCTCACTATTTTTGTAAGCAAGCTATGTTATTGTTGTTAGGAGCCCTCGAATTTGTTCCCACTCATAGCAACCCTATGTACAACAGAACAAAACACTGCCTTGTCCTGTGCTATCTCCACAATCGTTGCTATGTTTGAGCCCATTGTTGCAGTCATTGTATCAATTCATCTCATTGAGGGTCTTCCTCTTTTTCATTGACCCTCTACGTTACCAAGCATGATGTCCTTCTCCAAGGAATGCTCCCTCCTAATGACATGTCCAAAGTAAGTGAGATGAAGTCTCGCCATGCTTGCTTCTAAGGAGCACTCTGGCTGTACTTCTTCCAAGACAGATTTGTTCATTCTTCTGGCAGTCCACGGTATATTTACTATTCTTCGCCAAAACCATAATTCAAAGGAATCAATTCTCCTTTGGTTTTCCTTATTCATTGTCCAGCTTTTGCATGCATATGAAGCAACTGAGAATACCATGGCTTGAGTCAGGTGCACCTTAGTTCTCAAAGTGACATCTTTGCTTTTTAACATTTTAAAGATACCTTTCGCAGCAGATTTGCCCAATGCAACACATCATTGATTTATTGACTGATGCTTCCAAGGGCATTGATTGTGGATCCAAGTAAAATGAAATCCTTGACAATTTCAATCTTTTCTCCATTTGTCATGATGTTGCTTATTGATACACTCATGAGGATTTTTGTTTTTTTTATGTTGGGGTGTAATCCACAGTGAAGACTGTATTCTTTAATCTTCATCAGTAAGTGCTTCCAGTTCTCTTAGCTTTCAGCAGGCAAGGTTGTGTCATCTGCATATTGTAGGTTGTTAATGAGTCTTCTTCCAATCCAGATGCCGCATTCTTCTTCATACAGTCCATCTTCTCATGTATTTGCTCTGCATACAGATTGAATAAGTATTATGAAAGGATACTACCCTGATGCACACCTTTCCTGGTTTTAAATCATGCAGTATCCCCTTGTTCTGTTTGAATGACTGACTCTTGGTCTATGTACAGGTTCTGCGTGAGCACAATTAAGTGTTCTGGAATTCCCATTCTTCACAATGTTGTCCATAATTTGTTATGATCCACACAGTTGACTGTCTTTGCATAGTCAATAAAACACAGAGCATCTCAAGAATAGACTTGATGCATTGAACACTAAAGACCGAAGACCAGACAAGTTGTGGAATGACATCAAGGACGTCATACATGAAGAAAGCAAGAGGTCAATAAAAAGAAAAATCAAAACAGATGTCAGAAAAGAGTCTGAAAGTTGCTCTTGAATGTAGTGTAGCTAAAGCGAAAGGAAGAAATGATAAAGTAAGAGCCGAACAGAAGATTTCAAAGGGAAACTTGAGAAAGCAAAGTATTATAATGAAATGTGCAAAGACTTGGAGTTAGAAAACCAAAAGGGAAGAATATGCTCGGCATTTCTCAACCTGAAATACTGAAGAAAAAATTCAAGCCTCAAGTTGCAATACTGAAGGATTCTATGGGGAAAATACTAAATGACACAGGAAGCATCAAAAGAAGATGGAAGGAATACACAGAGTCACTGCACCAAAAAGAATTGGTCAATGTTCAACCATTTCAGGAGGTATCATATGATTGAGAACCAATGGTACTGAAGGAAGAAGTCCAAGCTGTACTGCAGACGCTGGCTAAAAATAAGGCTCCAGGATTTGACAGAATACCATTTGAGATGTTTCAACAAATGGATGCAATGTTATAAGCGCCCACTTGTCTAGGCCAAGAAATTTGGAAGACAGTTACCTGGACAACTGACTGGAAGAGACCTATATTCGTGCCCATTCCAAAGAAAGGAAATCCAACAGAATGCCAAAATTATCGAACAATATCACTAACATCACACAAGTAAAATTTTGCTGAAGATAATTCAAATGTGGTTGCAGCAGTACATCAACAAAGAACTGCCAGAAATTCAAGCCGGATTCAGAAGAGGACTTGGAACAAGGAATACCACTGCTGATGTCAGACAGATGTTGGCTGCAAGCAGAGAACACCAGAAAGATGTTTACCTCAATGACACTGTGCATTGTATGTGTAATATGGCAATCGGAAAACCAGGTAGAAGGGTGCTGGAGTAATCCAGGTGAGAGATGATGGTGTCTTGGAACAAGAGGGT